AGCCCAGCAGGCACCTCTCAGGCAGAGGAGCAAGTGGAAGTGGTCAAAGCAGTTTGGAAAGAGCCACTGGGCTAATGCCTGTCTTGGAGATTGGCAGTGTACTGAGGTAAGAGCCACGGGGAAAAGACTTAACCCACAACCAACCTGTGAGATCACACATTGCTGTGAATACTGCCCTTATGAATGGCTGCACCCCAGCCCCTGCCAGAAGACGCTCTAGTTGCTTAAAAAAATTGTTTTTTAAGTCCTGGATTTTGTTAAAACTGGTTATGTATTTGGCCTTTGAATGCTCCCTTAAAAAAAAAAAAAACATCATCTACTGGGATATGTTTGGAAAACCTGCTGCATGGTAAAAGAAATCAGCATATTTCAATTCCACAAACATTTGCTGAGTGCCTTGTATGTGACAGATACATGCTCCAGGGATCTGAAGATAAATAAAACGTGGTCTGGCAACTCCAGGTGCTAATAGCTGAATGGGAAAGACAGACGTGTAAACAGATGATCTTCATATAATACCACGCACAGGGACCGGCGGAGGATTATGTAGCTCAACGTGGGGGTTTGAAGAAAAGTTGCCTGCAGAGAAAGGATTGCATTGAATTATTTAGGAATAAACCACACTCAACTTAAAGTGACAGACGCTGAGCAATGGAATGAAGTTGGGGGCCAAAGGGTGGGAACTCGGATGTGGGGAATCTGCAAGCAAGCAGGGGATCTGATTCTGAGTGGGTAGTGGTGGCTGTAGTGGGCGGGGGAGATAAGACTGCAGGCAGAGAGATGAGATTGAAATGGGAACCTTGCAGAGAGAAGTTCCTAGGGACTCAGGTAGTACCCATGCCGGCCAGTGCCACACTGCCCTCCCCTGGCCTTTCCCACCGCCCCTCCCACCAAAGGGCTTCCTGTGACTGTGGGCAGGACTGGCTGGAAGTCCTGGGGAGACCTACACCTGCGGAGGACCAGTGAGTGGCAGGCACTGTTATCCAAGCCCCCCAGCTCCTTAGCCCCCCAGTGGGACAACGAGGGGTGCATGTGCAGCCCCAGCTCCCAGGCTCACCAGCCGGATGAGGCTCCTATCGCCAGCTATAGTAACTCTTCAATAAGAGAATTCATGCCTGGCTGGTTGCTCCTTTCTCTCCACTTCCCCACTCGCTGCTAGAGTTTCCTGGCGTCATCTCCCCGATAAACTGCTTACACTCAGATCTTTGTCTTAAGGTCGGCTTCTGGAGGAACCCAATCCCAAGTGAGCTCTGCTGGCGAATGGATGTAGGGATGAGGAAGAGGAAAACTTGCCGAAGAGTCTGTGGGTGTGGTTTCCAGGGCGCTATGGACACCCAGGAAGGCAGGAGAGGCCAGCTGGGAGGGAGTGTGGTGGCTGCTGGTTTGGGGTAGCTTGTGGTGGCTTTCTGGGGAACCTCTACAAACGTCTTGGAGTCAGAATCTGACAGTTCAAGTGCTCTTGGTGCATGTTTTTGCCACTCGATCAGTTTCCTTTTTAATCTTAATTGAAATCAAGTTTAAGTGAAAAGGAAAATTTGGCAGAGCTGGCTGCATCCAAGGAGGAGTGTGTGTGAGTGAAAGTTCATGCAAGAGCTGCTAGAGCAGGAGAGCAGAGCCAGCCCCACCCGCCCCCTCGGACGGGGGACCCTTCACGTCGGAGCCTCAGCATGTCTGCATGTTCCTGAGGTCCCCTGAGCCTTTTTGCCAGCCCCAGCTTCAGCAAGTGGCACACCCCCTCCTCAAGCTACAGGCTAGGGGTTTGGCAGAATCATGCGGCGATGGTCCAGGTTTTGTTTCTCCTCTTTGTTGCTTTCAATACGTGAAATGAGCATGTGTTTATTTAAAAATGGCTTTTAATCTTAAACAAATAATGACAGACTGTTCAAACAGACTTCGGAAATCGCCCTAATCAGGATGTTTGAGAAGCAAGCCGACTCTGTGGAGGGAGGTTCAATGTGAAGCACGTTGTTCCCTAGGCCTCCAACTAGCTGGCCGTTTTTTATGAGGAAACACAGAGGGGTGGTGCACTGTCACATTCCATCACCAACCAGAACATAGGATAAGTTCATTTCCATTTGCAATTTCTGTAGAAATTCCCAACTTTCTCCAGCACCAGAAACTGTCTCCTTAGCGGGCACCTGTTTCTGCAAGATGCCAGCCTAGCAGGAATGCCACAGCGAGAGGCAGGCATGGGCAGTGCAGAGCAGCCTTGCAAGATAGCAGACTGGCAAAGACTTCGCATTCAGGGCCACACCCGTACATGGCGCTGAGTGGCCACTGGGAATCCTCACTACAAGTATGGCGTGAATGAGGCCCAGCATGAGGGAATGTGCTCCAGGAGCTGGGCCTTCACCCTGGACTCGCCTCAAAGTCCCATGCGCCGAGGGTCAAGGGATGTCCCTGTAGCTCATTTCACTCAGAAATAACATTTGTATTTACCACAGACATCAAAAATGGTCTCTCGGGTCCCTGTTGCTTGTGTGGGGACCGTGATGGGGCAGTGGGGGGGGGGGCATTTCTTCTGCACCTGCCATAAACAAGGTAGACTAGGAGAAACGCCAGGCAGGACTTGTGGTCCTGCTTCCTACCTTCTCCCAGGAGGGCGCCATGTCCCAGAAAGGTCAGGAGATTGGGACTCAGACCACTGCAGATTTTGCCACTCTGTGCTTGACTTAGAGGATTCAGGGCCCAACCTTGACCCTTTGGAAGTCAAGCCATATTGCAGAAAACCCATGGTCAGCACCCAGAAGAACTGGAAGAATTGGGGCCCTCCTGGCCTGTCCTCAGGGAAAAGCCCAGAGGACGAACAATTGGATGTTGACACCTCGGTCTGTGGGACCCTGGGGTGCTAGGAGGCACAGTGTCCCGTGCTCCTGATCAGTTCCGACGCCTTCCTGCCTGTTCCTAGGGGCGTAGAGACAAGGCAAATGCATTGTGACTGTGCCAGAGCTTTGCGCTAGCAGTACCCATCACATCTATCATGTACATCCACTGCCTTGCTCTATCAAGACTCAAATTTAGACATGTTCTACAGGGGTTTTTTAAAAAGATTTTATTTAATTTTTATTTGAAAGTCAGATATACAGAGAGGAAGAGAGACAGAGAGGAAGATCTTCAGTTCCGTTGATTCATTCCCCAAGCAGCCACAATGACTGGAGCTGTGTCAATCTGAAGCCAGGAGCATGGAGCCTCTTTCGGGTTCCCACACTGGTGCAGGGTCCCCAGGCTTTGGGCTGTACTCCACTGCTTTCCCAGGCCACAAGCTGGAAGGGAAGCAGGGTCGCCTGGCATGTGCAAGGCGAGGATTTGATCCACTAGGCTACTGTTCCAGGCCCCTAAAAGTTTTTCTTTTGTTTTGTTTTTATATAAAGAAGAATACCCTCACACCTTCTCCCTCTAAAAGTTAATTCAGTGCCTCCAAAAACCCAGAGTATTTTTTTTCTTGGGTGAACTAACCAGCCTGTTGATGGTTTGAACCACTTTAGGGGGTTGCTGGGGAGGCCCATCGTCTGGTGGTCAGTGATCACTGCACCTGCATAACTGGCACTTCCGCCCAGGGTCTTCTTTGTGATTGGGACTGCCCTAGGTGTGTGGGATGTTAAGCAGTAGCTGTGGCCTCAACCCACTTGATGCTGGTAACAACTCCATCCCAATCATAAGGACTCAAAATGGTTCTACACATTGTTAAATGTCCGTTGGGGAGCAGCGTTTCAGCATGAAATGCTGCCCTAAGCCCTTCCTGCTTTCTGTAACAGGTGCCACTGGTTGCCAGCCACCTTGAGAGTGAAGTTGGCTCAGTACAGCCCCTTGTGGTTTTAGGAAGCAACTGCTATGGCTAGTCCCTTCTAGGAATTTATTTCTAACACAACTGAGCAAGTAGACAAGAAGTTATGTACAAGGATATATTGTAATATTGTTTATAATTATAAAACTGAGTAAGGAACAGGTTAAATAAACTATAATAAATATGTATGTACTTGAACAAGCTTACAGAAAATGGAATTAGAAGATAAGCTCATTCAGATGCAAAACGTGAGGTTTTGTTAAGATTTGTTTGAAAGGCAGAGAGAGGGGGAAAGATGGAAAGGGATCTGCCATATGCCGGTTCACTCCTCAAATAACCTTGACAGCTGGGTCTTAGTCAGGCCAAAAACCAAGAGCCAGGAATTCTGTCTGGTTCTCCCCTGTGAGTGGCAGGTACCCAAGTGCTCTACCCAAGGTGGTAGACACATTAGCAGGGAGCTGCACCAGAAGCTGAGCAGCCGGGGCTCAAACCAGCACTCCCCGGTGGTGGCTCGAGCACTCGAGTCTCTCCTACCTGCTTGGGAGACCTGGAGGGCATTCTGGGCTCCTGGCTTCAGCCTACTCTGGAATTAGGGAGTAAACCAGCAGGTGGAAGATCCTTCTGTCTCTGCCTTTCAAATACACAAACTTAAATGAGTGAATGTTTTTAAAAGAGGCACATCAGCAGCCTGTATAGTTCCTGGCATCCCATGCATGGAAGGGCCACCACCAGAGCCACAAGCCCTCCTTGGTCAGAGTGTATGGAAGCCATCAGGGCCACAGGCCCTCAGTAAGGGGGCATGGAAGAGACACTGCCAGGGCCATGGGCTCTCAGTAAAGGTGCGTGGAAGCCACCAGGGCTGTCATTGCTCTTTAATTTCCTATGGATGTAATTTCCATAGGAGTAAACACCACGAGGCCTCCAGTATTTTCTAACTGTGCCTGCTGCTCTGCTTTTTCTCTTTTGCCCTTGCCTGTCTCCTACATATGCATCTCGTACATAGGCATTCGCGTGTCCATCAGCCAAGCACATAGATGTGTTCCCGATCGGGAAGTGAGAGAAGGTGGGCCCTTAAGGACCAGCCTCCAGGGAGCGTTTTCCCTTTGCCCTGCCAGGCTTCTGAGGGAGGCTGGGTACATGCTTCTCCCTGCAGGCTGGGTTCTGTGCTGTGTCTCTCTAATACTCAGTCTTTTCTCCCTCTCTCTGCCCAATGCAGGACGCCTTCGTGGAGCTGTATGGCCCCAGCGTGCGGCCTCTGTCGGACTTCTCCTGGGTATCCCTGAAGACTCTGCTCAGCCTGGCCCTGGTGGGAGCATGTATCACCCTGGGCGCCTACCTGGGCCACAAGTGAAGTCACCAGGCCTGCTCCCCACCTCCCAACAAATATGCAAAAGGCTCACTAAAGCAGTAGACATAATATGCATTGCCAGTGATGCATCAAGAACCCAAGTTGGGTCTGCAAAACCAACATGAGCAAGCCCCGCGTGTACACAAGACAGTGTCCAGGCAAAAGGTCCAATCAGCTATTTACTGCCAAAGGGAAATAGCATTTATTTTTTACACTTGGAAAAAAAAAAAAGATTTATTTATTTAAAACAGTCCCGTCCAAACTCCTGTCTAACTCAAGTGGGCCAGAAGTGCCCCATGTACTTCCGGCTGAGTGCCTCCCCCTGCCCAGGCACGTGGCTTTCTTGTCTGTTGTCTTGGCTGCACGGGCGCACCATCTGAAGAACAAGAGTGCAGGCTCAGTGCTCGACGCTGGCAAGCCAGCCCCCTTGGACTCCACTAGGCCAGGAGGATGGTGGTTTTTTAAGCCACGTTTACCTGCCCCAGGGCGGGGGGGTGGGCTGGGACCTGAATTGGGAAATCCTTGTTTCCCTGGCCTGAAGAACTGACACTTGGCCTGTGACTTACATGGTACAGATCTAGTTGCAGGAAAAAAAAAATACAAAACCCACCCTGGAACTTCAGATGGGCGTGGCCCCTGCTGCAATACCCATGTCCAAGGACTGCGAGGGGAGCACAATGCCCTTAAACCACAGAGAAGTATTTTTTTAAGCTACCGATTGTGCCAAGAAGTATCAAGCAGCATTTTAGCAATGTATACCACATCAACCAGTACCTTAAACCCTGATTGTGTATATTGATCTATTTTGGATACACAGTCCCCCATGCCCAGGACTGGCTGGGGCTGAGCAAGAAGCAGAATCCTCTGTAATTGAAGGCAGTGGCTTGAGCACAGGAAGGCTGGAGCTCCCCAGAGCGCCAGGCTGCTGCAAGTGCCTGCACCCAGCAAACTCACGTCTGGAGAAACTGCCCTGTGTCCGGCTCCGCCTCAGCCCTGGCACTGCACCTGGTGCTTGTGGGCTCCTCCGCAGGCTTTACAGCAGAGTGCCGTGGTCCTTGGGCATCTGGAAGCTGATGGAGCTCAGACGTCCAGTGTCAAAGAAAGCAATAGTAGGACTTGGTCCTGGGCCTGTTAACGCCTGCAGACGGGCAGGCAGGCCTGTCCTCATGTGGAATGGTGGAGCCCCAAGGGCCACAGCTCCCCCTGAAAACTGCATCACTGTGGTGGACAGGAAAGGGGGCACTGGGTCTCTCCCCGCAGAGAGAGACTGAACAGCTGCTCCCTAAATGGGGTGTGAGGAAAGAGGAAGGAGGTGGCCTGTCGCAGCCAAGGCGCACATGTGTTGGCTGCACAGCCATGGGCCTGTCTGTGCAGTCAAAAGCCAGGCTGCAGAAGCCTTTGGGGAGAGTCATAAATCCTCAAGGCAGCGTTGAAATGAGAGGTCATGAATTCACTGACCCTTGTCTATGGAATTAACATGTAAAACATTATCTTGTCATTGTAGTTTGTTTTTATTTGAAAACCTGATAGAACAACAACCAAAAAAAGTTCCAGGTGTGGAACATGAGGAGCTTATTTGTGTATCCTGGGGCATTAACCAGAAAGAAAAACCAGTGGTGGGAAACTGTAGGGAAGTAGCAGAAGTGAGGTCTCTGGTAATAAACCACCACATCTCTTCCCAAGCTTAGAATCAGCCTTGAGACATTCATGGCATAACTTTGTGGCATTACTGCATTATAGTCCACTTATCTGTATTCACTTTGGAATGTACTATGTTCAGTGTTTGATGCTGTGGTTGCTATTCTGAAGGCTGCTTTTTCAAGACATACAGGCATCTCAGCATTTTCTGAAATCATGGAATTTAGTTATGGCCTCCACATTATGTGTTAACAGAAACAATCATTTTCCACTCAATATGTTTGTCTCCTGTTTCCGAGAAGGGGGGCTGAGCCCTGAACCATGGCTATCTGGGCAAGCCTCGGTTTGGCTAACCACAGGGCCACTTTGTTTTAACCAAGTTGCTTGCCATCTCCATGCCCACGTAGGGCCATGGATGCATCTGTTGTCCCTTTGCCCTGCGTCTTGAAGGGTTACTTGGCCCTGGACAAGTTGGCATCTTACTCACATAATTTGGGATTCTGTGCATGGGTGTTTAAGCCCATGAGGTTCAAATGGTTGAAAATCTGGGCAGGGAATGACCAAATGGATTAGCATCTGGCTCTGCTGGTTGGCCCTTAGGGAGTTACTTTACACAACCTGCTTTGCCACAGACCCACCCAAAGCCCTGCGCCCCGCCCCCCATGGGTTCCATGGCTGCCCCTTGGGGAGGAGGCCCCCCGAAGGTGGTAGTGTGGGTGGTCACCTCCCTGGGAAAGCAAGAAACTTGCACTTCAGACCTCCCTGGTGGGCCTCAGGAAACGGGACAATCAGACCTTTAAATGCTTCTAATTTTTAAGCAAAATATTATCTCCATGAAAGGTTTACATTTTCGGAGTGATGAATATGGAGTATCAAGTCCGGTGCTGCTATCCTGCCAGAATCATGTCCACGGAGTTGGCATGCCGTACACTCCAAGCTGCTTCAAACGTCACAATCAAGGACAACACGGATGGTTTCCATACCAGAAAGCCTGCTTGTTTTTTGTAGTTTTTGTTCTTGTTGTTCAAATTGGGATTTGCAGAGTATCTTAAAAAAAGAAACAAAAAACTTGTATGTATATATTTTATATATATATATAAATATCAGTAGACTGATCAAGGTGGGGCCACCCCTTACCATGGGCTTGGTTATCTGGTTCCCCAGTAAATGCCCTATGCATCCTGTGGCAGCACTCACTCCACAGGTGTTCATACTGCATTTGTCTTGTTGTTAAAAACACCCTAGAAAAAAATGAATGTACATAAAAGCCTCAGCTACGCTTTCTTTTTTGCTTCCTTCTCATCTTCCAACTGGGCAACAGAGAACCAGACTCAAGTATTTTGTGTTGCAGGCTGATACACACCAGGACCTTAACGCACGAAAACCAGTCCTCTGTTGCCCAGGGTCTGAGTGAGAACTCCTAGCTCTAAAAAGAACCCATGGGGCAAAGAGCATTCTAGAATTTCCCTGGTCCACCCTAACTGGCTTGCAAACAGCTCATCCTGATCTGTGTAGGTTTCGGATTTGGATTAAAGTCCCATTTAGAATTGAGAAAGGACCTTGTTACAGTTCCTGCAAACCCTCCTGGAACTGTGGCCCCAACTCTCTAGATCTCTGAATGTTCAGGCCTGGCTTTGACCTGTGTACTTCAGTTCATTAGGAAATGCTTAGTACCACCACTTAAAGACCTAGGCCTGGTCCTGTGTGGGGAGAGCAGCAGGAGATGATAAATCAGAGGGGTGATTTATAAGGATCAGGACTGTGTAAATCGATAGGGCAATCCCAACACATGTCTAGCTTTCACATCAGAACTGCAAATAGTATATATTTGTAAAGCTATACTAAAACAAATACTTTATAAATGTGAACTTAAACTCTAATTCCAGCTGTCCTTTGAAGTCAATGACTGTTCTCATACTTTCTTATCACTTATAGTTAGTAACATACACCTCCTCTATCAGAAAAAAACAGGAAGGACTTGAAATATAAGCTGTCCCAAGGAAATTAGGGGATTCAGTTGAAATCCTATTCTGATCTGACTCTGTCTTTTGCAAGCCAGACAAATGTGGTTACACACTTTTTAAGAAATACAATTCTACATTGTCGGGCTTATGAAGGTTCCAATCAGATCTTTATTGTTATTTAATTTGGATCTTTCAGGGATTTTGTTTTTAAATTTCTATGGGACAAAGGACATTTGTTGTGGGAGGTAGAGTGTAGTGAGAAGATTTTTTAAATGAGTAAAATATTCCCCAGATTGGATCAGGGAATGGAGGTTTTCAGAGGGGCCAGGTCAGTTGAAGGGACCTTTAAGAGGGTCTGCGGAACTCTTCCATAAAGGCGCTCCTGGAAGAAATGAGAAACATTCTGTAAGATACTGGCACAGCTCAAAGGCCAGCTCAGCTTGGCGGAGCAGCGTGGTGCAAAGTTCAAGCTGGAGACACGTGATGCGTATGTAGGCAGTCAGTTTGCAGTTTGAACCAACAGGATTTGGTTCATTGCCAACCTTCTAGTTAGTGGGAAGATCTGGTTTTTTTTTTTTCCTTTCTTCGTTGTTTATTATGCATGATACAGAAAATAAAGTTGAACAAAACAATGGAAAACTTAGCTGGGTAAGTATGAAGTCCCTTAACCTTACCCAACAAATCATTCTGTTCTGTGCCTTTGGGACATCCATGATCTAGGACAAACATGAAATACACATCTCGGCATGAAAAATACCAGATGGAATGTACACGGTACTGCAGCACACTCACATGGCTATTCCAGGAAGATAACCTGAACCCAAATTTCTATTGTTAGCCGCCTAGTTCTGTATATCATGCTCAGTACCCTCTGTCCAGCACTCGTTTAAGATGAAGCATCAATAACTACAGCTGGTGTAGGCCCTCCAGAATGCCATACAACTGGACAGTTTGGCACATCTGCTCTGGGCCCTGAATCTAGCGCGTGTTAAGTTTTGCCCTCCAAGGTAGCATTTAAAGGAGTGATGGCTGATCCCGTCTCCTTTGGGGGAGCTTCCTTCTGGTGGTTGTGTCTTTAAGTTTTAAACCAAGTTTTGCTTTTGTTTTTGAGTTACCAGGGTTATTTTTGTTTTAAATAAAATAAGTGTAGAATATGTATTTTTGTATTGAAAGCTTTTGTTATCAAGATTCTTCATACTTTGGACCTTCCATAGTTATTTTTAAAATGGATCATTCTTCGGGGTGGCCAATAGCCTGAAATGCTGTAGACACCAAAAATATATGATAAGCATACTTTACACAGTTAAGGTAAAGTACGTCTCCAGTCAGCCACCATGAAACATAATGGCACTTTGTGTTGTTGGAAAAAGTCACACAGCCATTAACTTTTTCTTGTCTGTCCAGTTAATTTTGTGAAGAAAAATAAAGTACAGTGTGAGATATTGGTTGTGCCCTGGAGTTGTTTATAATGTGTTAACCTGATTTGCCCCTGCCACTCGTTATTAACCAGGAGGCTGCCGGCCTCCCTAACAAGCCTGGAAAGCCACTGGGAAACCCCTCTAACGAAGCCCTCAGGGACTGGACCGAGGGGTTATCTTACAGGTGAAATCACCTTGCATGTGGGCCCTTTGGTTTCCTAGCCCTCCGGGGCAGGTCCAAGGTGGCCCAGGGTTGAGTTTTCCGTGACAGAGCAGCCATTGCTGACAGTCATTTCTTCCATACGTGCTGCAGATCCCAACCTTTGCATTCCTAAAGGTGAAAGGTTGGCTCAAAAGGGATCCTGGGAACCCTAAGTGACAAGGAGTGCAGGGTTTCCTTTGTCTGTCTAAATCCTGATACCCTAACCTTAGCTTCCAAGGGTTTTTCCTTTGACTCAGTCCAAGGGCGCTGACGGTCACATCCATGCGACCCAAACACCACCCCCACACTACCGCCTGTTCTCACACCTGGGTTGGGGGCCTTGGTTTCTAGTTTTAGGGGAAAACCGAAACTCTAGTTCTCAATCACCCTAGGTTCCAGAAGCAGGGTTTGAGCCGACTCTGAGGCCAGCGCCCCATCCTTTCCAGCACTGCTACCACACTACTGCCCATGCGGCCGTGGGGCACAATTTTCCAAAGGGGCACCCAGGGATGAATGGTGAATGGAGCCAATGGTCTCAGCACTCACAGCATATCTTTCATAAATTCTGAGACCACCCCTGCGACCAGGCCACTTGTTACTCTCCTCTTCCTTCACACTCATCTGTCACAGTTCTCAGAAGAGGCACGCTGCTCATTCTTCCTAAATCCCCAGAGGACTTGCACGGGCTTGCTGGAGCTAACTCACCCTGACCCTGGAAACCAGCTCTGCTCCCCTCTTCACAACTACCTGCATGTCCTACTGGCCACAGTGGAAGTGTTGACACCACAGGAATGAGCAAACACTAACAAGCAGACTGCTTTCCTTTCTTTTCTGCCCCCACCCTCCAGGAAACCAGTTGATTTGCACACTGCTGGCACTGGGGTGTTACAAGCCTTGAGGTTACCAAAAGGCATGGTTTGAAATCCAAGAGAATATCAAACTTTTAAAACTGAGAAATAAGTTCTTTTACAAGTCTTCACCCACCCCCAGTCCTTTGCTTTAAGCCATCCCTGTATTTTTCATGTAAAGTTGAGTACTGTTCCACTGTGGGACTTGGATTTCATTGTATATAATTTAAAAAGTGATGTAACCATTTTATTTTTACATTTCAGTTGTTAAAATAGCTTCTCAGATGAGCTTATTATTAGCATGTGTCAAAGTTCTCTCTCAAACTGGCGTGGGGGGGATAAGCAAGCCAGCAGCATTCTCCTTTAGAAAAGGCACACCTAGGGGAAAGAAGAAGGAAAAACAAACAACAATGCCCCAACAAAAGAAAGGCTGAAGGCTGTGGCAGACAACCAGCATCTCGGGTATTCTTTAAAGTCTGTACAGAAATGGCCCAGGCATTTATCAAGAATTCTCCCACAGATGGGACCATACCACCAGAAAGTTCCACCACAGTCAAAGGATCATTTTCTGTCTCAGACACTTCATCACGCACTGAATAGGACTTCTGTAGCAACTATTTTCATTTCAACTCTTGACACTGAATAGCAATATAGGTAAGTTCCCTGACTTTGGAACTCCATTTTGCATGGCACACCAGCCAAATGTGGACCTAATACAACATCAGGAGCAATGTGCTGGAAGGCTACAGTCACCCAGGGACCTTTGCATTTAAATGGATCTTTCTGCCAAGGCCAAGGAAGCAGTTGACTGGATAATGATCACCATTTTGATAACAATTCAATCCAGAAACAAAAACCCAAAAAACAAAAGCTGCAGAGTCACAAGAATTCATGTGAGTGCATAGATGTAACTTGTGTTATAGAGACGTGTGAAAAGTTAATTTTCTAAGTTTTAACCTTGACAAGCATCATGTAGGGTAAAAAATCAACTGAGCAAAAGACACAAATCCACCTTTGCCAGTGTTGGAAAAGACCTATTTCCTGTGTCTTTCATGCAGTCAGTCTGCTACTTAGATTCCGTGGTCTACACTTCCTAAGTGATAAGGCAGATTTGGTTGGTATGCCCACCTTGTGTTTACTGAAGTGGAGAGAGTGCTTTTAGGGACAGTGTTTCTCAGTGCCCGTACCACACACTGCCACCAAGTGGAGGTTTGCTTGCTAAGTTCCTGTCAACCTCACACTGAAAACAGAGAAGTGGCCCAAAAGACTGTTCCAGGGCAGTGTTTGGCCCTTACATCAGTCCCGAGGGACCTTCCTGAGAGAGGCCTGCTCCCTTCGCTCTGGTGGGTTCGAAGGTGACATTAACTGTTCAGCCTGTGCAGCTGAATTGATGGCGATGCTGTTTACTGAACTGGTAAACAACTGATTCAAAGTGGGTGGATGAGGATTGGCTCTGGAGGAAGACAATGAAGAAAAAATGAGATCAAGGTTGATAATTCCATCTTTTTCCTGAGCAATAAACTTACGTCCAGCTGAATGCTCAGCCTCCTCTTGGGGAACAAGTATCCCAGTCTCACTATAGCTGAAGCCATGCTCTGATGATAGACACCAGCATGCAGATAACTTAGAGGCATGGGCCTGGATAAGGTTGCTGGGGGAAAGGAGACTACAGGGTGGGGACCAAGCTGAGAGCCCTGGAATGGTTAACAGGCAGAACTTCCATAACAGAGCCAGCAAACAGAAGAGAGAGGATGTGCGCCAAGAGGTAGGAGCCAGAGGGAGCAATGTGGCCCTTGTGGAGGTCAGAAGTTGAGATGTGAAGAAGACAGTGAAAGGTTTCCCAGTGGGCTGAATTCTGCCCCCTACGCAAGCCCCATTGGATGCCCTTCATTTTTCAACATCCCTTTAGAAGATTACCAATCAGAATGCTGTCTCAAGTGCTTGGTGGCTGCTGCCTTCATGACGGAGAAGTCACCCCTCTAGGAATATGAGGGTGCTTCAAAAAGCTTGTGTAAAACTGGAACTAAACATTGCTAATTTGGAGGACAAATCATGTGAAATCCATGCATAGTGCTTTCAGGATACATATTTTTTGTGAGCTTCTTAGACCCTCTACTGTGATTAAGAGTTAAGTCTGTGTCTTCACTACTGTTCCATGTGATCTTCCTGATTGACACTAGCATTAACCCCAGCTCTTCTGTGCAACTGATGTCTTTCAGCAGAAGCATAAGCCCAGACATTTTCATAAAATTTCACTTCTTGGTCTCTGCTCAGCCCAAATCATGCAAACTTACCTGTTTTATTATGCAGTCATCTGTGTTTGTAGCCTCCAAAGAATTACTAAGACAGCCTGTCTCACCTCGGTTCAAATTGTAAAACAGGTCTTCTCTGTGGACCCTGAGTGGACAGCCAAGGGTGCCTGAAAACAAAAACTCTGAAGTTCCTTCTTCCAGGTTGCCAGATCAGTTGGCCACCATTTTGTAGATGTTGGTTGAAACCACAAGATACTTGGGTCACAGACAAAGGACAGTGTAGCACTCAGTTGATAGCATCTGTAAGTGACTGGTCCAGGATGCAGAGGACCAGTAAACATTGGCAGACACAGCGGATTGTGATACATGAGAGGACTTCTGAGTTTAGGAACTCATTTGAAACTTTCATATTGGGCCATAAGCCTGTCCACCCTTTATTTTGGAGGAAGACATCTCCGTCTTCCAAGGCTGTTGACCATACAAATATTCTTGGAAAGATAGTGTGAAACAAAGAGGGATCGGTGCTTTGCACGTAACATAAACAGAAACACGAGAGATCCATGATGACACAGCACGAGGCTGTCTGTGCTGCGTGACAGACAACCAGACACAAGGATAGCAAAGTATGTGCCACAGGCTTCACCCACTGAAGCAGAATGTTCTAGCCACAATCTCAGTCTGATACCAGCCTAACACTTCCATGTGGACATCTGCCTGGAGCCAATGCCAACTTAAGGCTGCCAATCACCCAAGGTAACTCTGAGTCTTCCCTTTTGAGACACATGCTGCCTTTGGGTACTTCAGCTGTCACCTCAGTCATGTCAACCTCAAGCCAAACAATGCTTACAATCCCAAGACTAGTGCATCCCTAACTCCCCTGTTCTATCATGTCCATTCTCCACTCAGTTCACACTCAGTAGTCATTCCATGGATTGATAAATGGATCTAAGTCACTCAACAAACACCTGTTGGGCCCTACTCTGAGGACAGTGTGGGCTAGGCTCTAGGTTTTATAAGTTATTTAGACCCTTGCTTGTTTCAAGAGGAACTTGTCATTTATATTACACAATATTTTCTTCCAAAAGGGGTCTCACAGTTAAGCCACAAGTACACAAGGTCCCTCTGTCCCTTCTCTCTCACTCTTCCTCTCTCTCACTTTCTCTTTCTCAAGCTCAGGCCATTCTATTTGGCCACATGCCTGGATGCCATGTAGCCATGGGTTCTCTGCTTCTCCAATGTTGAGCTTACCGCATCTCAGAGCCTGAAGGCAGGAGTGGGAGACGCAGCACAGACTGTGAGTAAAACTCAGCAGCAAGTAGGCCCAGGATGGCTTTGATCGGGTCTCCCAAGGGGAACGTCATCTCCTTCATCCATGTGGAAACTCTCAGCTGGAGAACAAAAGGGGAAGAAAAAAGAGGAAGAAAATATTTACAGGAAAATCATTTCTCACAAGCAGGCATTCACTTCTAAAAGCTTTCAGACATGTAATTATTTTTCTCCTTGGGTTTTTCTGTTTTTAATATGAAACACTTTAAAGTCCCCTGGTTCGATTTCCAGGAAGCAATAATCCATTTTGCCTTGGGTGGAGTTTAGGAAAGAAACTGCCGTGTTAGAAGTGGAAATGTTTCCATTGAAATTGCCACATGGGGCTCTTGCTGCTGCTTTAATGTTCTTGCATAATCAGGCCCTGTTCCCCAGGGCAGGGCGGTCGGCTCTCTGT